TGCTGGAATATCGTTTGTAGCTCATGCACTTGATCCATAAGAGGCCTTGAGTCTACCATTCTGAAGTTAAGGAGTTTCGCAGTTGCAAATTTTCCAGAACTCACGTTGAAGGTCTTGTATTTGTTTTCGAGAGCAATCCAGACATCTCTGGAAGTCTCGTAACCTTCACTGTACAGGCCGTACAACTGATCTGCAAGGTTATTCAGGATGTAACCTTTGCACAGGAAATCCGCATGGATCCACGCTTGGACAGTAGCAAGCATGTGCGGATCTGTATTCTCAGCAGGAAGCACTGGTTTAGTTTCAGTGAGATACTTTGCCAGGTGCAATGTGGACAGAAAGAAGTGCATCCGCTTCTGCCACTGCTTGAAGTTTGTTCCATCGAACTTTTCAGGTTGAAGTCCAGCGGTTGGAATCGATGGAACCGCGTGTGGTAGACCATTCCCTTGTGGGAGTGTCGGCTCACTTGTCTTCTTCGGATGTCCAACGTCAGTAGACATTCTGAATCTAATCACAGAAAACGAACTAGGTTAGATTTTGAGATCTCAATCCAGAAAAGCGATTAAAAACGTTTAATTCGCTATTAATTTGTTCACAGAAATTGCGTAATAGCGTTCTTAAACCCTAATAGTCGTTCCCAGAAATCACCTAAAGGTGTTCTTGAATGCTATGTTTCAGATCTATAAGATCGTTTATAGACAAACGTTTCGCGATCCTGCCTAGGGCTGATGCGGAAATCGTTTTGTGTCTTTATGATAATCGTCTGTTTTTAAGATCAAACGTTCTACGGTTGGCTATAAGACAATCGCAGAATCGTTGTAGATCGATCAGAAAACGTTTTAAAATCGTTTTATGAAATCGTTTTTGAAGTATTGTTCGCAATATTCAATCCGATTCAAGCGATTAGCAGGAAACGGATTTAAAGAATTAAGATTGTAGGACCGCGAAAATCCAGATTGAAAATCACGAATCTAAAAACGATTTAAATCAATAATAAACGATGATTAAAATATAAAACGTTTTAATAAAACCTTTAAGGAAAAATGATACATGTAGTCGATATATGATCTCTTTCCTTAATTCTTTAAATCTCCCGCAGTGTGGCGGTTTGATGAGATTCAGAATACCAGGATACAACCGTGTTAAAACTAAAGTTGCACCACTCGACTATAGAATCTGCGAACTGAAAATTCTACGCTATACTCTCGAGACTCACCTAAGACTGTAGAGACGAGAGAGATTTGCTGGATATTTGTGTTTGAAAGCTTATTGCTTTTCTGGATGAAGAATAATGAATGAGAGAGGTCATTATTTATAGTGGAATAGAGGTTTGTGATACAAGGAAATTTCCTTATTACTCACAGCAGATAAACGGAAATATTTCGAATATATTTGTTCCTTGTTCGACAAGGTTAAGGAAAAATGGAAATATTCCGAAAACCTTTATTCCTTTTTTGACAGAGGAAACAGAAATATTCCAAAAATCTTTATTCCTTATTTGACAAGGATAAGAGAAATGGAAATATTCCGTAAAATAATTCGACTCTGTCAATAAAGATTTATCGATATTAATTATAAATGAAATATTGACAATTTTATTAAATAAGTCAATAAAGATTTATTCCAAAAAAGAAATTATTGTATGGTTTTACATAATAGCCTTCATACTTCCAATATATGACAAATGCACATCTTGACTTTTAGTCTTGATTATATGTCCACTTTGACCATTTATTTCTTATTCAAGTTAACTTCAATTTTGACAAGTAATTACACTGTCTATTAGTGCTCATTACAAAGATTTCAAAGAATCCATAATTGCCAAAATTTAAGTTCCAACAGCACATTCAAAATTGTGTTTATAATGTTGTCGAAGAAATTATTCTCAACGTGTATAACATCCATATTGTGGCGTAGGAGATGGTGCTTCCAATACGATAAATCCTAGATGATACTTTGTTTTGTGCCAATTATGGTACTCACCATAACCACTAACTCTTTCAATACTATTTTCACCATAGTCTATACATCAAAATTTATCAATTGTTTCAAAGAGTAATTCCCATTATAATCAGGAGCTAGGCCATCATGACAACAATGGCAGACCCAGAAAATTACTTTATTGGTGTCCAAAATTTTTTTTGACATCTTATTAGGAAAGTTTTGAACTATTAAGATAATTTTTAATTATAAAGTGATTTGATGAAATTGAAAAAGAAAAGAATATAACACTAAAAATAAAAAATAAAGACTTGACAGAAAAAATATTAGGGTCAAAAAAAAATTAGAGAGGGGTCAATGTTAATATATTGAATAAACTTATACAACATAATTTTATAAATTTGGTGGGGTCAGCTAACCCTCTTGCCTTGTATGTGCCTCTGCCCCTGATGCACAACCTTGTTCCTCATAAATAATGTCTTACTCCGTAGATAATGATAGTTGTGTGGCAAGAAACAATCAAACCAACAAGTTCACACCTATTTGGCAACATGAGCGTATTTGTATTATCTTGACAATAGAAAAATGATAACTTCTCATGGGTGGTCCATCCTGATAGTATTCAATATGCAGAGAAGTCACTAATACTCTACAACAGAGCAACATACAATTTGAAATTACTCTTTACTGAGACATCGTACATAACCATTCCTTCGTACCATAAGATTTAGAACTCCTGAATTAATGGATGTATGAATACACCAAATGATCTCTGAAGGTGATTTGGTCTAGGAACTAGATGATAAGAAAAAGGCATTTTTGCTTCATGCGTAGAGCTGGTAGAATACCTATCGAGTCACCGGGGTTTCCTGGGTTTGTTTGGATAAATCCGGTTCAATCATGAATTAATTAATTGATAAAATTTTATATAATATATCAACTATATTCTAACTTTTGATATATGTATCCTCTTTTATACCAACAAAATGGTGTTTCATCCGATTAATACCACTCCTTAATTTTTGTGAGTGACGAAATCTGATTTTTCTTTTGAATCTTTTAATTAAATCACATAAGAACTGGGCAACAATATTTTTTTCTCGAATTGAATAGTTTGCATCTGATATTTCTTCATAGCTTTTGTTTGATTTTGTTTTCATTATTTATTAAAGTTATACAAAAAAAAATTATTAAGATATAATCAATTTTTAAGGACACATAAAGATACATACAAATATTATAAATAATAGTATCAATGATCATCTAAAAATCGAAAACAAAGAAAAATCTTTAAAAAAGAAAAAAAAAGTTCAGGGAAACAATTTAATTTAAAGTATACAAAGTGATTCCTTGAGTTAGAGAATACAAAAAATTCTTCTCAAATGGTAAATTTTTTTTAAAAGTTCAAGCAAACTTTTTTTTGTAACAGCTTATATTAAATGTACTTAACTGTAAACGGTGAATACAAATATAGAATCATCCATTGTGGAGGACTTGAGAACATTACACACAACTCAGGTAAATCATAAACTAGAAAGCTTTTGTTTCCAGTAGCGTCTATCATGAATCATATTCCCCAGCGCTGTATTTAACTCCCAGTTATTAACGATGTTTGTAAGCTCCTGATTATCTCCTTCAAACCAAACCTGTCGCCATCCTTTTGTCCAAATATATTGTAACACATACAGAAGACCTGTTGCTTCTGCCTGTAATGGTGTATGAACATTTCGTATTTTCGCACATCTGGATGTTATATGTTTACCTCTGCTATTGCGTACTATCCAGCCGACACCCATGGAAGATAGGCCTTCACAAAAGTTACTGTCAAAGTTACATTTTAGCCATCCTGCTGGTGGTGGACTCCAATTTCTGTTTCGAACCATACTAATAAATTGTGGTTGGTTGTCAATCTGCACTTTTACTGCAGTTGCTTCCATGAATTCATTAACCGCATGTACACCTCGTTGTGCATCTTCATTGGGTGAACTGAACGTTTAGAGAATAAAAACTCGTTCCTAGATTTTCATACAAACCACATAATCCAAAATGGAAGAAGACGAACCTGAATTGGCAATGTGTTATTAGCGTAAATTTGAAGCATGACTCAAATATTATCCTTGAGCTCTAAGCTTGGATTATCAAATTGATAAAAATGTGCACAACGCCAGATTCCAATTGCATGTCCGTATTCAAACAACACATGGTTGATTGTCTCCTCTGCTAAGCAACATCTTTGACATATAGGATTTGCTTCAATATTCCTGGTTCTGAACCGTATTACTGTATCATAAATTTCAAGCAAACTTTTATTCTAAAAAATTATTTATATTTAAAAATTTAAAAATTGTTTAGTTTAACTGGGTCAATAGGTCATCGAATTACCGATTTCTAGTGGTTTTTTTTATGGACTTTACCAGATTTCACACAAACGGATGGATTTTAACATTAAATCCGGACTGGAATATTGACGGGATCTCAGATTAACTGGGATGACCAGCCAGTCCAGTCCAGATCTTTTTTTTTCATTTCCTAGGTACTCTTCCTACGACCCTACAATGTGTACACATAAATCAAATGTAGCAAATTTCGCTTGGACCCCCGCTTTGTAATACTTTAATTTTATTCTTATAAACTCGTAGATCAAAAAAGGGAAATTGGGTCATATGACCATATTTCCAAGCTAAATTCATAAATTAACCATAGCAAAGTAGGTGCTATAGTATTCTTCATATATTCTACAATATATATAAAATTACTCTTTTTATTTTTTGTTTAATTTCTTTCCTTTACGATCTTCTCTTCTCTTCTCATCCTTTTTCATTTTCTTTCCTCTGTTCACATCGGCTCATCTCATCTCTCATCTTTCCCTTCCTCTCTTTTTGCCTCCGCTTTCCTCTCCTCCCTTTCTCTTTCGTGTTTTTCTTTTCCTTCCTTTTTTTTTTGTATATACTATATCAAATTGGACTATTCCATAAAATTATATATAGTATAATATGTAGTATCATATAGTACAAGGTTATTTTTGATAATTAATTATGGACCATAGTTAGTTTACCAATTTTTCAAATATCATAGCTATATTCCTCTATTGTTTTTCGAATATGGTTATTGAACAAAAAAACTCATCAAAAAACTATGCAAGTCATTCCGCAAAAAAAAAAAAAAAAATTATGCAAGTCATACTGTAACAGTTTATATGATTTTTAATAATACAAACATGTCACACTGTTACAGTTTTGAACTAATGTTTCGCACCGCACTCGAAGCACTCTCATTTGAACCAATCGTATCAAGAACCTCTCTTAAAAGAATCTCTCTAATCCTACCGTACACGTGGGCATCATATCCTCGCCTAACTAACTCCTCGCCTAACTTTACGGCGGCTTTCACCGTCTCCGTCGCACTACCATAACAGGAATCCACAATTCCCATCTCCAAACCCTTATCCGCCGTAACTTTCGCCGCCGTCAGCATCAGTTCTCGTCTCACCGCCGGAGATCCAATTGTCATCCGAATCAAAGCCATAAACCACGCCGGAACTATAAGCTCGATATCCAATTCACTCATATACAGAAATCCTCTATCGCGACGCATCAATATGTAGTCGTGACTCATCGCTAAAATGAATCCCGCGGCGGAGGCATGACCTGTTACGGCGGCGATTGTCGGCATAGGAAGAGAGATGAGATCGGCCACTAAGGATCGGAGTTTTGCATCCATTAGGAAACGGAGAGAAGGATCTGATTCGGCTAAGGCGAGATCGTAGCCGTTTGAGAAGAATTTTCCTTCTGCTGTTGTGATGAGGACTGATTGTGAAGACGATGGATCGGAACGGATTTGGTTTATGGCCGAGCGAAGTTTGTCGAGTAAAGTTGGGTTCAGACGGTGCTCGCCGTCGCCGGCAAGTCTTGGCAAAAAAAGTCGACCACGCTTCTCCAATGAACACATCTCTCTCTCTCTCTCGAGTGAGTTGCTGATTGATTTAAAATCCTCTTTTGCATTTCAAATCTTTCAAAATTGCATTTGAATATAATTTTTTACTACAAGAAAGTAGTAAAAAATCTGAATAGGCAACGAATATACTCTTCTGAATTTGGTGGGGGCATTTGAAGTGGAATAGTCCTTATCCTCCTCTTCATTGACTGAAAAGGATGCCTAGTTAAAAATTTATTGAGATCTTGACAAATCCGGACAAATCTAATGTTTTAGTTAAATTATTTACACAACGTGTTCGAGCAAAACTTTCAAACATGAAAAAATTAACTTCAATGCTACATGCCTACAACCAAAATACTGAAACACAATTAAAACGACATTAATGCCACAACCAAAAACCAACTCCAGCAAAAATTCAACTTCAATGAAAACAAACACAAGAACAATAATCATATGTTGACAAAAAAAAAAAAATCATATATGGCCACCCTTCGATTAAATAATGCCAATAAAGAAGACAGAAAAAATCTTGAGAAAGTGAGGAAATTGTGTGTCAAGATAAATTCTAATTTCTATCTTACTATACGACTTTTATTTTCCAGTAAACAGAAGTAAGAATCATGAAAGTGGTGAACACAGAAGAAAAAAACACAATCTCAAGACTTGGTTGGCTCATTCACCTCGTCAGCTTCAGCATCTTCAATCTCGCTCGCTAACTTCACCAAATCTTCAACCAATATTTTACCATCTAAACAACAACAACAAAACTTCTATCACAACGCCAATAATCCAAGAAACCAAATTGAGAAGTTATAGCAATGAAAGAAACAGAATAGTGACCTTTATCTTTAGAAAGATTCTGAATAAGCTCTTGTATACCCTCTTTGCCTAATGTATCCTTAAGGTACATCGCCGCCGAAGCAACCTCATCGGGACTTACCTTTCCATCGTAATCTCTGCACAACAAAAATCGAATTTACCAATCACCATATTACGAGAAAGAAATCGAAAGGATGGTTACACAGACCTGTCCAAGAGTCTCCAGCGGTTTCCAATCTTGTTATCGACATCATCAATTTCCTTTTCGAGTTTCTGCAGCATTGTCTCCACCTGAAGATAAATGAAGATATAGATTAAGCAAAGAAAGTACCAAGATTTTGTGACTACAGATTAAGGAAGAGAATTGTTGTTTACCCTATCTAATAGTGCAGAAGAAGTTTTATCAGCGATAGCTTTTTGAGCACTTCGGTCACTATCTTCACGAGCAGCTAAGTAAGCTTTCCTAGCTTCTTCCTCATCATCTGTACCACCTTTCTCTACCATGCTGTTGTATAGATCTACCTGTAAACAAAAAATATGATAAATTTAATCAGAAAAATTCAAAGGAAGCAAGATATAAACTAGAATACAATGTGGAAAAGCGGATTTACCTCCTTTTTAACTAGTTTAAGGAACTCTTCACGCTCCATGCTAACGGACTGGGATCAAAGTAAAAAGAAACGAGAAGCATTAATCAGATTCCTCACGCTTATGACAGTTAAGTAAAATGGGAGCGTGGTTAAGTCTGTATACAGATGCGGAAGCTAAAACTGCCAATGCGCGGCTGAGTTCACAGAGCTGCTCATGTTTCTCAAGAGTTTTCGCTTTCGCTTGTTCATTAGCATCTTTAGCTGTAGAAGCCAGCATCTCATCCAAAGCTACATCTTTTTGGCTCGAAGCGGACTCTTTCATCTTTGCCATTTCCTCCTCTTCTTCTTCCTCTTCCTCCTATATTAGATGGAATCCAAAGTAAGAAAATATAGTTCCATAATATGCAGAAAAGCTAAACATAGTTCTTCTTCAAACATGTTTTCAGATTGTAGGGTAACAAATAAACCTTGATTAATTCTTCTTGCATTTCTAGGAATTCCAACTTCCTCTTCCTTTCTGATACAGAATCTTCCGATGACAGAGCTGTGACCCCAACTGTGTCCACAACTTCATCTGGTAGAGAGGAGAGAGTAGCTTGAACAGCCTCTTCTGGCTTGAGTTTCCCAGCCATTGAGAATGACCTAACAATACGCACAGGAAGATAAATACAACAATGTCATTTTTCATTATGTCGTATATAGAATATATATATGTCTACAGTCTATTGAGTTGCAGAACACGCTTGCCTAGAGAGGATTAAGAGAGATGATGGCACTGAATGGTTGAGAGACAAATCCAGCCAGTCAATTAACTGCAAGGAGTTATTTGCAGATCACTAAAAAGTTATAACTCCTCGAAAAACACAAAAAAAAAACAATTACAAGATCATTGCTCTTGTTCAGAAAGAGTAATTTATTCAATATATACTCCAGCGAGATTCAATCCTGAATGATATTTATAAACGAACATTTACCTGCTGTCTCATCTCTTCAACTGAACCTAATTGAAGCATTCCTCTGTATCTGCAAGCTTGGCGAAGTTCAGCTTCTGAGAGTGACTCCACACCCTCAGCCTTGATCAACTTATCATCTTTTTTAATCCTACGAAGTCCAAGGAATGGCATTGCCCAAAGAATATGTGAGAAAGAAGAAAATAAATTTGGATAAATGAAATGTTAAAATACATGTCCTGTGGAGTAAATTGATGGCCACATACTCTTAAAAAGTCACCAAAGACAGAGAATATGTTACAACCTCGAATCTGAACTTATTGGCAGACATTTAAGAGAAGAAAATTGGCACTATGAGTAGTCTTGAACTTACTCCTGTAATCTTTTCCGAAGCATATAACGTAAATATGCATCAGTTCCGAATGGGCTAATACCCATGTATTTGCACATATTTACCAATCGAGACCTACATTTAAGAAGATTATATATAAATAAAACAAGCCAGGACAGAAGAAGTATCGTAATATATACAGTTCTGACTAATGCGTAACCTGTTAATGTTATCCAATGTAAGCTCATCATTGAATAGCTTTGCAAAGCCCAGAATTTCATCATTTGAAACGCCGACTCCTCTTCTAACCTGTACAATTGATAACGAAGCTATGAATCCATCTTGCAAATAACAGAAGAAAGTTAATTGTGTAAATTAACAAGGTAAGCGAACCTTGTTCATAAATCCATCTAAATCTTCTGCCGTCTTTTTAATTTCACCACTGCGCGAGGTTTGGACTTCCTTTGCCATTTCTTTAACAGTATCTTGGAGAAACTTTGCATACTCCATTCTTGCATTCAGCCTTCTTTTTAGTGCCTCCTGCAAAAGAAACGTTAGCTTCATATTTAATAAACAGGCAAGAGTGACATTAAGAGGACAAAAGATCAAGCTATTTCAGGCCATTCTTCCCAGATCAATGTAGCTCAAATTCGTAAAAATCAATATGATTTATGGTTCTTTTAGCATTAATAAGTATCACGTTGGTTGACAAAACAAATGTATCAATTGAAAGACTAATAAACTGAGACTTATTTGCTCTGCTCTTCCCAGATTTGCACACTCGCACATTATCAAGATTGAGTAGCCTTCGCCCTCTAAATTAGTTTCGAACAAAACAAATTCCAATTTTCAGATGTAAGCCCGTGTTTAAATATTTTCATTTCTTCAAGGGGAAAATTGATCAAGGCTACACATCAAAATCAAACGTGGGGCTATGACTCTGTTCAGGAAAATTTCAGACACTAAAACTTTCAAAACAGTCATATCAGCCCTACATTAATGTTCATACCGGATCTTTTACATGTAAGGGGAAAAGAAAACGAACCAATTGAATAATATCAGTACTACTTTGCTAGAAGCTGAGAACAAATGCAAACTTTGTTATCAGCAAAGCTGAGAACAAATGCAAACTTTGTTATCTCATGATGAATATAAATTTACGACACCAGTAAAAATGACTCTTGACAGTCCTAAGCCAGTCTCCTCCAAAGAAGTAACTGGCAAAACCAAATCATTGTAATCTATGTCTATGCGAATGTTCCTACTGAACCTCAAAAAGTATAACTTATAAAAAAACAAGGGATTATCAATAGTGGATCTCCTTCACAAAATTTCAAAAGGCATTATATCACAGGACATTATCTTGAGAATGGAAGAGGCAAAACATAGATGACAATGTGAAAATAGAGCTTATAAAGCCTCTCCTGCTTGGTGTCAAATAGTCATGCAAGAATAACTAGATATCTCACGTCGTATTATCAATGGGCATTATCTTGAAAACGGAAGAGGGAAAACATACAAGGCGGAAGTATAGCTCATAGTCGTGACTGGTGTCAAATAGTCATGCAAATGCTTCCAGTATTCCAGTCGGGAAATAAAGATTAACTAGATATTTCCCCTCGTAATCGTATAAAGCACAGAGGCGCAATAAAAGAGGTTTTAACAATACCTCTTCTTTCATCTTGTCCTGGAAAGTTGACGGAAGCATGTTGGGAAAAAGCTTAAGAGCTACCGGTAGCAAGAACTCCATGAATGGGACAATAATGAAAACCGCGACCGGGACTAATCTAAAAATGTCTGCGGTCGTTCGAGTGAGCTGCTGCCGTTCCCTCCTAGAGAGACCTTTCCCATTAGCAAGTTTAACAAGCAGCCTTACACTGATCCTCACGTCAGCCCAGAGCAACTTTGTCCCTAGCCAGTAGTGTTGCAGCGTCGACTTAAACTCATCTTTCCAGTGACGAAGCTTCTTAGCCCAATCTTCCCTGCAAGAACAGATCATACGTTATATAAGAATACAGTAACAAGTAGCACAAAGGCCAGAGAACAAAAAAAAGATCTGCATCCTGAACCTGCTCATCGACGCAATAGCTCTCAAAGCAGGACCTATTCCAAGAAGAAACAACCGCACACGTTGCATAACGGATACGTCAGATTTCTGGGATTCTTCCAGTTTCATCGCTTTAGCTTTAGCTTTGGCCAAACTCATACCCTCGACTGCTTCATCACACTCCTCAGGAGAAGCTTCTTTCGTTTGTGAAGTAAGCTTTTCGTCCTTTTTATCATTGTCAGGCTTGTTGGCCGTTGCCACAGAAGACCACATAGATTCTCGAACCAATCTATAGCCCAAGGGATAAGGGAACTTTGATCTTCCAACTCCATTACTAAAATTTGGAGACTGAAGCAACCTACTTCTATGTAACCCTGATGAGGCGATCGATTCTTTGTTCTTGAGAAAAGCATGCAGATTCCCATCTTTAGAATCAGGTTTTCCAGCTATATATGATCCTGAACCAGAACTCAGTCCCTTTACATTCTCATATCCCAACCGCTCAAGGCTTGAATGACATTGGATTGTTTGCGAATGTCCACTAAGTGACTGAACGAGGTACTTTCTTCTTCGTAGAAGCGCTCTTGAAGCCATCTTGCAGTTATGTTTAAGCTCTCTGTACAGTATGAAAAACCAGCTACATACCAACAAAAGCCGAATCCTATACGTGTCTGCATAGAGATTGTACACAATATATGTCATTCCATTTGATACTCTATATATATATATATATATATATATATTATGATCAAGATCAAATCACTCCTCAACCAATAAAAACCGCAAGAAAAACATGATTAAAGCCACAAAAGGAACAATAATTCTAATTTTTTTCATACGGATTATGTATGGATAGTGATTGTACACAAGATATGTCATTACATTGATACTCTATCATGATTAAATCACTAAAGCCAACAAAATTTCCGTAGTCTTATCCGATAAAAGCCGGAAGAAAACATGATCAAAGCCACAAAAATGAAGAACAATTCAGATTTTTTTTTTCATACGGATTATGTATGTAATTAGACAGACCGTCACAAACGCATTTCATGAAATTCCTGTAAAATCGTAGAACATTATGTGGAGGGATCTTCGTCGCAATCGATTTTGACTGGGTAAAGCATTTCATGAATACTACTAAGATTCCGAAACATGATTACTATAAGCGAAAAACGGAAATTATACATGAGAAATTGATTACGATGAAGCTAAAATGATGCCCAAAAATACCAGGAAAAAAAACTCAACGACGGAGCCGATTACTACTGACTTACATCTACAAAGACGCAGGAAGACGAAGGATCGATCAAACGTGAAAGACGAAATCGAAAAAGTTCGAGGAAGAAAAAAGAAGCGTCAAATGAATCGTCGTCACTTGGCCTCTGAGAAGGATTCAACGTGTTTCTGCTGATTTTGACCGTTTTGCTTCGGGTCGGGTCGGGTCGGGTCCGAATATACACATACATATATACGTATACTATTTAGAAATCTCCTCCCAGCTTCTGGAATGTTTAGTGAATATTCTACTATTTTAAAGTGTGAAAAACTATAGTCTACATAAGCTATATGAATTTCAGAAAATTGATGAACATCGTCGTGATCTGTAATCATCGTCGATATAATATATAAAAGTTGATGACATAGCGCATTGAAGACGTCCACATGAGATTAAAAAACTTGATATAATTAATCCATATCAGCAAATTTATTAAATAAAAAATATTAAGTATGATTATGACAGAAAAACTTAATTTAATTGGTCCATATCAGCTTTTTAATCAAACCAAAAATTATTAAGTATAATTAAAATATTAAAAGTTAATTTAACAAATTATGTCTAACAAAAAAGTAACTTCAGTCTGATTGATCTAATTCAACATATTTATTAAATCAGAAAATGTTAATATAGTTTAAAATTTTAAAAGTTAAATAAAAAATTAACAATTAACAATACATGTATAAAAAAGTAACCATTATTAATTATCAATTTAAAAAAATCTACAACAACTCGATTTAACAATTAAAACAATGAAAACTGAATAAAAATATAACATAAAACTCTTGGAAGACATAGTGGAGAAGGAAAAATGGTTTTGCATGATCATTACAGCTTCCTAACAAAATTAAATGTGAATCAACATGAATCATGAATTATATATACAGTGGTACACAACATCAATAAAACTTTTAATAAAAAACTAAATATTTGAACACATAAACCTTCAAAAAAAAAACAACTATATGTTAGAGATGAGATTCGTACCGTCTCTAACAAGCCCGATATGAATTCTAATCGGCCCGTCTAACAAGTTCCAGGTCGGCAACATAAATGGAAATCTTCCATTTATTGACGATCCGGGGAAAAAGGAAACTCCTTGCCGACAAGAGTTTCCTATTCCAAACAGGTTGAAGACCGACCTGATCGGCTATAAATGCAGGAAGTCTTCGACTTCTCAAAACATCCGAAAATCATTGATAAAGACCTAGAGCAAACTAAGCAATCAGACTGTTCTAGCTTTTGGTTTACTTTCCTTAAGAGTTTTAGGTCGGCGTTCTTATTCCGACGACCTAAACACCGTTGTATTCTATCAAGCTCCGGCTTCTTCTAATAAAAGATCTCTTTAAAACCCTCAAACCCTAGTTCTTTCGTAGATCAAACTTGAGTTTTCACAGTTGGCGCCGTCTGTGGGGATTAAAAGAGCAATCTTTGACTTAGAACGGAGTTCGAAGATGGTTGAAACACCGAGCAACACTACCGACCTCACCGGAGGAGCCTCCGATCCGACAAGAAACACCTAGGATCTGGTCGTCGACCCAGCCACCGGACCTCCGATGGGCCACCAGACCGATCAGGAAGACAACACAACTACCGCGCGGAACATCGGGACAGATCAGGTCGATCAGACTGGTGGCACAAACACGACCGACCTACCACAGCCACCTCCCATCGATATGGCCACCATCATCAGGTCAGTCGCAGAGCAGTTGCAGCAAGGGATGGATGCTCGCTTCGAATCCCTCCGTGCCGAGCAGATAGCCTACAGAGAAGACCTAGATCGGCTTCTCAACTCTAGAGTTCATACCCAAGAGCAGGCCGATCTAATCACCCCTCCCCGCCCTCCGATCCGCAACACAGATACGACCAGGCTAGTCAACAACCTGTTCGGCACGACACCGACAGACGACCTGCAGAGAGCACAGGCAGAAGGCTCAAACACTCGTTCGTCGCGCAATACCGCAGGTACCAACCCGACGACGGCCTCAGAGCTTGACCTTCTCCACCAACGCCTTGACGATATCCACAGCAAGATCCACAAGGTAACAACCTCAGCACCAGAGCTGGACAAGATCCTCCAGGAGACCCAACAGACCCCGTTCACATCGGCCATCACCAGCGCTCCTCTCAAGGACATAGGCCGGATGAAGCTACCTCCAAGCTACATCGGTACGACAGACCCGAAGCGACATCTGACCGCGTTCAACGCTGTCATGGGACGTGCTCGCTTCACCGATGAGGAACGGGAAGCATGCCTCTGTCAGTACTTCGTGGAGACACTCTCCGGAAGCGCCCTCACCTGGTTCTCACAGCTTCCCAAGAACTCCATCGACAGCTTCAAGGAGCTCACAGCTCGGTTCCTGAAGCATTATTCGATCTACATCGACACGGAGTCCACAGCGCTCGATCTATTGGCATGCGTCCAGGGCAACACGGAGTCGCTGCGCGATTTTATCGATAGGTTCCGATCGATCGTCTCCCAGTGCAGTCTGTCGGACGAACTGTGTTTCAACATTCTTATCAAGAATTTGAAGGATGATTCATCGTTTTGTGAACGATTGAAGACAGGAAAAACCAAAACCCTCGAAGATGCTTTGCACAAGGCATCCGGGTACATCAGAGTCGAGGAGGATCGGGCAGCCAAGGCCAAGGCCAAGTTGGCCGATGAGAAATCTTCGCGCGACAAGAAAGGCAGATCGAGTCAGGAAGATTATAAAGAGCCCCGTCAGCACTATGACAAGGATGACAAGAATCGCAAGAGCATCAACGCAGTTGCACAACCAAAAAAGTCTTGGAACGTGTGGGACCGCTCGAGCGACAGAGACCCCGATAGCAAAATGCCGTGGTGCAAATACCATAGGGCGCACGGTCATCATACCGATGATTGCCGCACCCTCCCAGCCCTCTTGAGGAAGAGATGGGACGATGGCGAGATCACCCTTCCAGAACCCCGGAGTTCACGACGATCCGACGATGAGGACAGGCGACCCGATGACGATCGCGACAGAAGAGATAACACCGATCACTCTTCTAAACGCGAGGGCAAGGAAGCAAAGCGTGACCGTGAAGACGATCACACACCTCCAAGCTCACCACGTCGGCGGATCAACATGATCATGGGAGGGCTCCTCTCATGCACCGACTCGATAAATTCAATCAAACGGCACAAACAGAAGGCAGCCAATCCCCCGAAGGACGCACCACTACTGTTCAAGGACGACCTACCGATCACATTCACAGAGCAGGACGCGCGTGACATCGACCGACCTCATAACGATCCACTCGTCATCTCACTATGACTCGGAGAAGACGACGTCTCCAAAGTGTTGATCGACACTGGAAGTTCGGTCGACCTCATCTTCATGGATACTCTACGCAAGATGAGTATCCCCGAGCGGAACATCAAAGTCGTACCATCACCACTCACAGGATTCGCTGGAGACTCGATTTCGACAATAGAAACTATAACGATGCCTGTCACCATACGCGGGAAGTCAATTATGGTTAAATTCGAGGTTATTGACCGACCTGCGATCTACAATGCTATCCTTGGAACACCATGGCTGAACGCCATGCGAGCCGTCCCTTCTCCTTACCATCAATGCATCAAGATGCCGATCAGGGGCCGTGTCATCACCATCCGTGGTGACCAGACAGTGTCCCGACATTGTTACATCGACAACAAGCGCGCCCGAAAGGCATCAACGTTCGTGATCGGTAGTAGTAGCGACTTTGACCCACGGATCGTTCATCACGACGAGCAGCCGAAGAGCGATCTTATCACTCAAGTCAACATCGATGCTGCCCACCCGGAACGTTGCGTCGGTATTGGCACGGAACTATTGCCTAGCATGCAGGACGAGCTGATCAGTTTCCTCCGAGAGAACGTCGCAACGTTTGCGTGGTCCATGGCCGACATGAAGGGCATTAGCCACCGAATAACGAGTCACGAATTGAACGTCGACCCAACCTTCAAGCCGATCAAACAGAAGCGACGAAAGTTAGGACCTGAGCGAGCACAAGCCGTCCACGATGAAGTAGATAAACTCCTGAAGGCCGGATCAATCGCCGAAGTAAAGTATCCGGATTGGCTCGCCAACCCGGTGGTCGTCAAAAAGAAAAACGACAAGTGGCGGGTCTGCGTGGATTTCACCGACCTTAACAAAGCTTGCCCAAAGGACAGTTTCCCTCTTCCTCGTATCGATCAGCTCGTCGAGGCTACAGCAGGCAACGAGCTACTCTCCTTTATGGATGCATTCTCAGGATATAATCAGATTCTCATGAATCCGGACGACAGCGAGAAGACCGCATTCATCACAGATCGGGGCACCTACTGCTACAAAGTCATGTCGTTTGGTTTGAAAAACGCTGGAGCCACTTACCAGCGCCTGGTCAACAAAATGTTCGCCGACCAGCTTGGGAAGACGATGGAAGTATATATAGATGATATGCTAGTCAAATCAGCTAAAGCAGCTGACCACATCATCCATCTGCGAGAATGCTTTCTCATACTAAACCAGTACGGCATGAAACTCAACCCTGCAAAATGCACCTTCGCAGTCACATCCGGCAAATTTCTAGGATACTTGGTCACTCAGCGTGGCATCGAAGCCAATCCTAAGCAGATCTCCGCAATTTTGGAGCTACCCTCGCCAACTAACACTCGCGAAGTTCAGCGCCTAACAGGAAGAATAGTCGCGCTAAACAGATTCATATCCCGATCTACAGATAAGTTTCTTCCCTTCTATCAACTCTTACGAGGCAACAAGCGATTCGAATGGGACAAAAAGTGTGAAGACGCATTCGTACAGCTCAAAACCTACCTTTCGACACCACCGATCCTGGCCAAACCTGAGTACGGCGACACTCTGCTACTCTACGTTGCGGTCTCTAGCGCGGCAATCAGTGGAGTCTTGGTTCGAGAGGACCGTGGGGAGCAGAAGCCGATCTTCTACTTCAGCAAAACCTTGGATGGTGCTGAAGCTCGCTACCCGACCTTAGAAAAACTCGCTCTTGCTGTGGTCGTCGCTTCAAGGAAACTATGACCTTATTTTCAATCTCATTCCATTGCTGTCATGACCAGCTAACCTCTTCGTTCGATCTTGCACAGCCCGACGCAGTCCGGCCGCATGGCGAAGTGGGCAATCGAGCTTTCCGAGTTCGATATCGAGTATCGAACGCGGACTTCCGCAAAATCACAAGTTTTGGTGGATTTTTTGATCGAACTATCACCAGAGCTCTTAA